TTAACTTCACACAAGTATTAATTAACTTTTGAATAAAAAGAAATATGCGGTTGCATGTGAAGTTTATCTGATGCAAGAAAGATACATTTTGAAGAATTGTGGTTAATCTGTTACCTAGTACTATAGCCTATTCAATAAATGCAATTTTCACACTTTTATTTTTTTATTTTAATTATAAAAATTGAAGATTACATTTTCCATTAATTAAGTATAATTATATTTTGTAACTATTCTATAATTTATTAATAACTACTAAATTAATCAATTATAAATTCATACTAAATGATTTATGGGGTAATTTGATATGCTTTGGAGAAGTAAAATTCTCAATAAAGTTTCAGTAAAGGAAAAAAAATATGAATAAAGTTGATAGTATGAGAAGCTATACTGCATACAAGGGCTGAGCATGGAATCGAAAAATTCCTAATTATCGTTTCGAAAATCAAACCGAAATTGCTCTTATTCGAAAAATAACTGTTAACCGTTTGACTTTTTTTCAACTGAACATAACCAAATAAATAATTAGTAGATTCCGAGATTTCCCAAATATATATATCGAGAAACGAATCGAACCATCTCATACTGTATCGAAAAGAATAACCGAATTACAACATTAGATGTGTTTTGTTCATATATCTTATGTCAACATTAATCCTATATAATTTGAGTATTTTTAAAATACTAAATAACATATTATAATCATAATTAAACTTCACTTAAATTTTATGCTTAATAACAATTGGATTTTTTCTGTTTTAAAATATTATTTATATTATATGATAGTTTTCTTAGTTTTATTTTATCTTATAATTCAAACGGTATGAAAGGTTAAAGAAATATTATTGAGAAAAACTATATTTATTTTCTTTGAATTTTAACTGTTGGATTCTTATTATTGCATAACGCGGTTTTGCAGGCTCAATTTATGTGTTTTAATTTATGCATGCTTTTAAAGTCTCGGGATTATCGAGGAGTTTGGGGTTCTGATTGCTTGTAATAAATTTATTCGCATGGTGGGACACCATATACATTATTTTTTATGTTTAGACGAGCATGTAAACTCATTTGTAGGTCTAGGATTCTTGTAAGTTTTTTTTATAAGCTATTGCGGTTTGCGGATGAGCTCAAGCAACCACGAAGACCCGCGGACCTCAACGACTGGCAACTGGTGACTGACCCGGCATCGCGAGGTCGCAATTGCGGGCACGGTCGCGCACGGGCCATGTACAACTCGCTATCCCAGCGGGCCGAAGGCGCCGAACTATGTGTGTGCCATGACCTGGCACCGCAATCGTTGTAGGGACAAGAGCCACAGGCCTCGGTGACGCGGTACTCGGCAGCGTGCACGGGTTTGCGACCAGCACGGGATATGTTCACGTGCGTTGTGCTGCAGAGACCCGGGTCTGCACACGTGCATCTTCGAGAGCGTACGCAAGGCAACTGCGCGAGCAGTTCGCACAACCCGGCAGAGCGCAGGACCAGGCAGCGCGGTCTTTGCGTAGTGCCATGCACCTTGCACGACCCTGACAGTTAGTAGAGGTTAGTCGAGAAAAAATATAAATTCTAATTTGCCGCATTGCGACGCATGGTAAAATTTTGGTGCCATTGTCGGGGAGTGGCGTTATTGAATTATACTTTTCGAGTACTATTTGAATTATTGTTTAGGACATTATTTTATTCTCTTTTACCCCACCCCTTTTCTTGTTGTTTATTATTTTTATTTTCTTGTAGAGTACTTGGCGTCCTCATACTCGTATAAATAATTAGTCTTTAAGACGTGTTTGGCTAGCCTGGAGCACTTTCCCAGAATGACAGCCTATTATCTCGACTTTTATACCCACCGTGCACCTTACGTGTATGAGAGAGATACGAGGCCCTTGGATTGGAGATTGAGATGAGTGGTTGAGTTTGATTCCTCGAGGAGCGATTTTAAGAGGTCATCAAGAGCGACCATGTGCAACCACGTGGCGTTCCAACTACGAGCGTCCATGTTTCTTTGATGAGTTTGCTGCATAAGGAGGCGTAAGAGGACCTATTGGTTGGCAAAGAGACGAGCACGATTACGTGGATCCCGAGGAGGACAAATGTGGATTGAGGGAGTCGAACTCTTTCCATGGATAACTCTGAGCCATTACTTAGAGAGATCCCATTCCATCTCTCGGGGATATGATGAAGGCATTGAAGCTGAACAAATTGATATTTCACAAGGTTGCGAGATGTTCCAGCAAGATACGAATG